TGTGAGGGATGTAAATACAACCTAAACTTTGCCTTACAAATGTAAGCAATGTGGCCTAATTGTATGTACTCTCACATGAATTAAAAAAAAAAAAAGACTATTGTTCTCATCTATCCCGAGACTTGGTTGAGCGAGAAGAAGAGAAACAGGGGGCAAAGAAAATAAGGCCTGACATTCAGGCACCCCATTAACTGACACAGCTCATGATGCTGGACAATGAGCTACATCTCTTGCTGTGACCAAAGGCAAGCTAATCCTCCACTTGGGACCTCCAATTTCTTCCTGTGTAAAATAAGGGACACGAGATTCCTTCTGGCTAGATATAATACTCCTGACTTTCAGGCTTCTACCCGTTCTCTACACAGACAAGATGCTTTCTAGTGATAAGTAGGATACAGAACAAAATCAAGGAATGGCTTCCAGAAAGGGACAAGGGTTCACATTTTGATGACCCAGTTTCCCTAAAAATGTTGCCCCTGAGGCAGCAGGAAGCAGGAATAACAAACTTCTGCAGGACTGCTAGTCTGAAGCAGCTCCTAGAGGTCTGGGCATTATACCAGTGGTACTCCCTACGGTGGCAGGACCCTCATTAACCCCAGTGATGATACTGAAAATAGTAATGTGTGCCTAAAACAAAGAAACCAACAAAGACTTCTCCATACACACATACTTTTCTATATTAGATATAAAGATCTGAAACCTTAGTTCAGACACCTCCACCAAAAGGCATCAGTTCCTCCAACCAAGCAAAGCAAAGTCTTGCTGACCATCTTTATTATAATTTGTCCTCTGGGCAATTTCAAGTGCTCAAAAAAGTCAGGGAACCTAAAGAATGGAAGTCCACAGGAAACCCAAGTTGATCTTCCTCAATCCAAACTTCTATTTGGTGAATTGGTGTTTCAGGTTCTTTTATTTCCTCTGCTCCTTCCTAGCTTTGGGACTCACAAAGTAATAAGTCAGAAGGCAAGAAGCAAGTCAATCAACTGTGTCAGGATCCAATTTCCTGGCAGAAACTGTTAAGAATCTCAAAGCACCCCAAGAATCCAAGGGATCTCTCTCTTTCATCTAAGACAACAATCGTCATGCATCATCACACACCTGAGGACCATACAGTACAGGAAAATTCAACTTTGAAATGCACAGTACAGGAGAATATGAGAAGACACATTATTTCTACTATGGATAGTCTCTCCTTACACTCAAGCCTCCCCTTCTCTCAGATAGATAGCTACATTCTCTCCTCTCCCTAACCCAGAGAGATCCTGGTAAAGAGTCAGTGGTTCAAGGAAGCTTTTCCTTGTCCAGCTGATACATACTGCTCAAGAAAAAAAGAAACCCAGGGAGGATTTCCATAGCCAGGAGTAAGAAGGCCTGCAGAACAGGAAACTTTTAACAGCCACACCAACGAAACGACAGAAAATAGGGGACTAGTGAGGACTATTCAGGCAGGCCAATGCCACTTGTCCTGTCAACTGGACAGTGACCTGGCAGCCGGCTATAAGAACAAGAGGGAATACACATGCAACTAACAGGGTGAGTAGAGAGCAAGAAGGGATGAAAGCGATTCCACGGCACCTAGGCCTTCCCCTCAGCGCTCCAGGGACTACCCAAAGCCAGCACATCAGACGCAGGAAGCCAGAGGGGCTGGAGGGAAGGAAGCAGGCGACAGCAAGCATACCACGGAGACACCAGGCCTCGCGTGGCGTGCGGGGAGTGCACACCGGGCCGGACGGGTGCACGGGTGGGGGGGGCATGCAAGTGACTGGGCAAGGGGTAGCAGGCGTCACCACCAGGGCCCGTGGGGCGAGGGCACCGGGCTGCCGGGGGCGTGGGAGCGCGCGGGGCCGCGCTAGGAGGGGCGCGCGCAGGGAGCTGGTTACCGTGTGGTTCACCCCCCACATCAGGACGCTGAGGATCGGCTCGCTGGCCCGGAATAGCTTCACTTTCTGGCACACGAAATGCTTCTTCTTGGTCTTGGTCTTGCTGGCGCTGAGCGGCGCCACCGCCACCGCCGTGGTGCTGGTGCAGTTGGACGACATGCCCGGGGCGGCGGCGGCGGCGGCGAAAGGGGGGGCGGCGGAGACAGCGCACAAGCCAGCGGCCCCAGGCCTCCCCCGGACCGATCCCCA